CCCCAAAACCCCAAAACCCCAAAACCCCAAAACCCCAAAATAACTTAAATTTATTAAGAAATCTCTAAACTCTATTTAAAAATGAGCATGATGTTCTTTGACACCAAGAGTATAAATCCTTCCTACAGTAGGGTAAGAGCAAGAGTGATGTATAGACTGATAAGTACAATAATCCTATCTCACATAAGCGGACAAAAGAGTCCCTAGTAATGAGTCAATCTCAAAGTCCAGAGCGGTTGGTGCTCCCAGCTCTAAACCAGGCTAGGATAATAGACCAACAGAGGTAGGGTTATCAAATTATGTTTTAGTTATCCTGGAGCCAGACAAAGCTCTATCCAGCCAAAGGTAATCTCATATTTTTATTTCATAGAGATTTTTCGATCAACCCAACAAGTAATTGCTTAAAATAAAATGAAGGTACATGTGTGGAAATGATATGAAACTTTTGATGAACCAGAAGATAGAATTCAATAAAAATGTACTGAATCTATATAATCACATAGAACTCGTATATTAGTCAGAATTTAGTCTCCCGTAAGAAACGCCTCAACAGAGAATTCTCCAATAATTCAGGAGGAGGGGGAGGCACTAGCCCAGCAGATTTTAAAGACTCCAAAGCGAAACAAAAGATGCTTCATGATTTCAAATAAAGAAATTTTCAATAGGGAAAAGGATGATCATGTAAAAATGAGGGAAAACATCAGGAAGGACAACTCTCTTGCTCAACTTGAAAAGAAACTTAAATAAAGAAGTGTATAAATAATATCTTAGACAAGCAGAACAAGAAGAAGGTATTTAACCTTTCAAGGCCTTATCAAAGTTACACAGACAGTAAGAGTTACATTGACCTTGAGAAGGAAGAGGATAAGATTCTCTCACATTTATCAAAGAAATAAGTACTCAAAGAGGAACTATGACCCTGTCTGTGAAAGTCCTTCTGAATTCTTCACATCTCCTCTCCCACAGTCTGTGGCTAAGAAGAGTCCTAATTATAATCGGTTTAATCAACCTAAGTGGTATGAACAGTATAAAGGTATGATTGAGAGTAGAATTTTTAGAAAAAGCACAGAAAATCAGGAAGGAAAAGTTAGCTAAATCAAAGCAAAACTCAGATATATTTGACCTTGCTGCTATTATTAATAAACAGAAGAAGAACAGAGACTCTCCCTTCAGAGTCAACAGAAGTATTCAGCAGAAGAAGTCGCCAAAGAGGTCACAGAAGGAGGCAAAACCTCCTCTTCCCAAAGAATATCTCACTGGAACACTTATGAGAAACTCTACCCTGAATTTCATGAGAAAATAATTCAATTCTTTCTAAATCTAGGGGTTTTGGGGTTTTGGGGTTTTGGGGTTTTGGGG